TTCACATACTTCATCTGGTCTCTCAGTGCAATGCTATAAAATGGACAGACAGCATATCTAAATTTGGGTTATCTGCATCTTTGACGTAGAGATTTGATTTGATTCATATGTGATAAGATTAGCTTGTCCAGAATAATCCAGTGTCCTGAATTAAACTGATGATTCATACCAAATAATCAAAATCCATTGGATACCTTTGAATTGATTGGATGAAATGAACTGGATTAGAAGTTCATGCACTTCTAATCTGCTTGCTGAACTAGATCAGTTTGTAGTCTTTCTTAACTATATCCCTGAGGTTGTGGAGAATTTCTGAGAACAGGAGAGAAACAGATACATTCATTCTCTCTGGGAATGACAGCTGAAAGCTTCAGAATTTCTTTTAATGAGATTGTTGATACAAGTGATGGATATAAATATGTATAACGTACATATTTCAAATAAATAAATAAAATATTTTGGGGACTTGAATAGAAGGGGATTAGGAAATGTTTGTGATGATGAGATACGTTTCTTTATTAACTCTTTGCTTCCTCACCTCCAGTGGTTTGAATCTAGTGGCATTCATGTAGCCTCACTGATTGTGGATGAATGCTCTCGAAATCCCAGCCACTGGAGTGCTACACGCTCACTGGATCATTGGCTGAAGGAAAAGGGGATTCCTGGTTTGGAAGGTAAGCTTATCACAAAGTGCTAGGGTTTGCCTCTAGAGAACCTGGTGAAGTGTAAGTTGCAAGTTTCTCTTATGTGCTCCTTGAAAGCCATAGTGGGGTGCCTCAAGGCTCAGTCCTTTCTCCCTTCCCATTTAATATCTACATGAGGCTATTGGGTGCTATTTTGCCTAGGCAACAGCTTCTGCACATATCTATTAAGGTAATCTTCCATTCTCTCTACACAGACAGAAATTTATCTCTACAACACCAATCTGGGGAAGTAGGTTATTCTGAGAGATTGTAGGAGAAGATGTGTCACTCTATACAGGTGGCCTTGACTTATGACCACAATTGAGTCCAAACTTTCTGTTGCGAAGTGAGACACTTGTTAACTGAATTGTGCCCCATTTTACAACCTTTCTTGCCATCGTTATTAAGTGAATCACTGCAGTTGTTAAGTTATGACATGGTTGTTAAGTGAATATGGCTTCCCCATCGACATTATTTGTCAGAAGGTCGCAAAAGGTGATCACATGACCCCAGAACACTGCAACCATCATAAATATGAGTCACTTGCCAAGCATCTGAATTTTGATCCTGTGACCATGAGGATCTGCAACAATTGTAAGTGTGAAAAATGGTCACGTCGCTTTTTCCAATGCCATTGTAACTTTGAATGGTCACTAAATGAGCTGTTGTAAGTCGAGGCCTACCTGTACTAACAAAAATCAGAAACAGTACGATAGCACCTTTTCTGATTACTAACTTCTATTAAAAGACATAAGCATTTCTGACATTTCCCATCAGATGCATGGAGTGACTTGATTGATGTAGGATTTAAATTGGGAGGAGAAGACAGGTTGGCTCTGCAGATGAGGTTACATGTGAGAGAGATTACCTACATCCATGAAGCCACTCTGCAATGAAGGCAGGTGCAGCTCAGGAAAGCTTATGGCTTTTAATAACACCTGTTATTTGGAAAAGGTGCTGCTGGTTTCCTCCTGATTTTTTGCTGGGAATAAGACTTAAGTGACCCAAAGTTACCCACTGAACTCCATGAGTGAGTGAAGACTTGAACTGGATCACCCTGCCTGAAATCTAACACCTTAGAATCAGGGGTAGGCAACCTTGGCTCTTTTATGACTCATGGACTTCAACTCCCAGAATTCCTGAGCCAGCATGGCTCAGCTTGGAAACCTCTCCTTTCCCCTCAGCATGGCTGGCTCAGGAATTCTGGGAGTTGAAGTCCACGAGTCATAAAAGAGCCAAGGTTGCCTACCCCTGCCTTAGATGGTACACTCGGCCACATAACTGTATTTAATCAGAAATATAGGGAAGCAAAATCGTGATAGAATCAACGTTACTGATAACAGGCAAAATATGAAAATAGTTAGCTTGTTCAGGTTGCCTCAGCATAGATAGAAATGGAGATTATCCTGTCTGAATTCTCCCAGTGATCACAGAACCACATAGTCTACTGCAGGGGTGTCAAACTGCCGGCCCGCAGGCCGGATGCATCATGGCGAAACTGCGCCCACCCCATTGCCGGCAATGGGAAAAAAGTCGTGATACGTCGCGACACATCGTGTGACATTGCGAGTTTGACACCCCTGGTCTACTGAGATAGTCCATCCTTTCTAATAGTTCATTTCTCCTGCAGGAATTGACACACGAGCACTAACCAAGCGGATCCGGGAAAAAGGGAGTATGCTGGGCAAACTGGTACCAGACGGCATCCATAGTTCACCCCAGCCATTTGACGATCCAAACACACGGAACCTGGTGAAGGAGGTTTCACTGAAAGTAGGTTGGAAGAATAGGGTTGGGAGGGAAAAGACAACTTGGGTTAAGCAAATTGGAGATGGCAGGCAATAGCCATGGATATACTGTATAATATTCAGAGCAGGAGAGGGATTTCTTTAACTGTTAATACATAGCTTGGAAAAATGCATTATTTTGAGAAGCAGTTCTGATTCAGTGCTCCCTCCTTCTGCCTAAGAATATGCACTCCATACTTTCAAGTGGCTCAGTTCTTTTATAGAGTCTTTCTGCACCAAAAAGTTATTATTTTATAAGATTTCTATAGACACATAACTTATATGGCATAACCTTGGGTGGCTCACAATAGCAATAAAAGATATAAAAGACAATCAGTTTTGTTATTGTTGCAGGATTCCACTTCTGCTCGATACCAAGATATGGGTAGCTGAGCAGGAATGTAAATGAGATAGGTAAATTGGGAAAAAGTCATGCGTTACTGGAAGAATTTTGGGTGGGAGAAAGTTATTCTAAGGAATTACAATCTTCCCACCCATTACCCCTTCTTGCTTCTTCTGTATCATTAACAGTAGGGACATAGGATTAAGTGTGATTTATTGGCTACTATGCCATAAACTTCAGCATAACTACTTTCTCCACTATGACTCCATAGGAACCCCACTTGTTCAATCCTAATGGGTCTGTGAGAATCACAGCAATTGATTGTGGCCTGAAATACAACCAGATCCGGTGCCTGTGCGCTCGTGGGGCAGCTGTTACTGTGGTGCCCTGGGACCATCATCTGGATAGTACAGGTAGGCATAACTGAGTGGTGAGTAAGGGGTTCACAGATCCAGACAGGTGGTTTGTTTCAGCTTGGGAGCAAAGAATGTGGAGCCCAAGTGGCTCGTTCAAGGGGGAAAGTAATAATAATTAAGGTCATAAAGAGAGCCAGTTTGGTCTGGTGGTTAAGGCGCTGATCTAGAAACCAGGAGACTGTGACTTCTAGTTTCACCTTACACATGAAAGCCAATGGCTGACTTTGGGCCAATCACGCTCAGCCCAACCCACCGCATAGGGTTGTTGTATGGAAAAAGAGGAGGAGGAAGGAGGTTTACATATGTTCACCAGCTTGAATTGCTTATAAAGTAATAAAGACAGGGTAAAAATGAAATAAATAAATGGATAATGCCATCTGATACCTCATTTCTTCCCCCAGAATTTGATGGGTTGTTTGTTAGCAATGGTCCTGGAGATCCACAATTCTGCCAAGAAACTATTTCCAATCTGCACCGTGTGCTGGAATTGCCAACTCCAAAGCCTGTCTTTGGCATCTGCTTGGGTCATCAGCTGTTGGCTTTGGCCATTGGAGCTAAGACCTATAAAATGAAGTAAGTGTTTGTGTGAATATCTGAAATAGCAATAGCACTTAGATGTGTACTGCTCTGTAGTGCTTTGCAGCACTCTCTGAGCAGTTTACAGTGTCAGCATATTGCTCCCCACAATCTGGGTCCTCATTTTACCAACCTCGTAAGAATGGAAGGCTGTCGACCTTGAGCCCGTCAGGATCAAATTCCAGACTATGGGCTGAGTTAGCCAGCAATACTGCACTATAACCACTGCACCATCACGGCTCTTAAATAACCAATAGATACCTCTTCAATGATGTTGAGCAGTCTAATTCTTCAGCACTATAATAAATGTCAGGTAGTCCTCAACTTATAACTGGTCATTTAACATAAAGCACCTCTGGCCGTTGTTAAATATCACACCAGCACACCTATTGCCCTGGTCACATGACTACACATATGGAGGACCAGACCTCAAATTTATTGAAAACACTGGCATTTGCTAATGTTTTCCCCTCCAGCAGGTTAAATGCTAGTGAGTGCCAGCATTCTGAAAGGCCTAGAATACTGCCATTTCCTGGCATTTCCCCTCCAGAGGGGCAGAAACACAGGCACTCAGAAAGGCTCCTCTGGAAATTCCTTGGCACACTGGAGGAATGGATCTCAAATCTTGTGAAAATGTTAGCAAACGCCATCATTCTCACAATTGTTCTCCCTATCCTACCATGCCCAGGAGGCCCAGGCTCTCTCTCCCCAGCATCCCTCCACTTAACGATCGGCATGTTTGCTTAATGACTGCAACTGGGAGAGCTGGGATTGCAGTCATTGAGCGAAGAAGTCTTGTGGTTCTCAATGACCGCTCCACTCAACAACTGAGATTCCGGGCCCAATTGTGGTTGTATATGGAGGACTACCTATAGCTTGAAACTGAGGGTTTTTTTTTTCCTCACAAGCTAAGCCTTCAAATTCCTCCTCAGATACGGAAACCGTGGACACAACCAGCCTTGCCTGCATGAGGGATCCCAGCGCTGCTTTATCACATCACAGAACCATGGCTTTGCAGTAGATCCAGCTAGCTTGCCATCTGGCTGGAGTCCTCTCTTTACCAATGCAAACGATCACTCTAACGAGGGACTTGTGCATGAGTCAAAGCCATTTTTCAGGTAAGGAAAAGCAAGAGATGGGGAGGTAAACAAGTGATTTGGGGTGCCCTTCTTTATTCTGATTTGCTGGAACCATACGGAAGACCTAAGAAGAGCTTTTCTGGATCAGCTCAAGGTTCCATTTCATCCAGGCTTCTGTATTGTATAGTGACCAACCTGGTGCATTCAGGAAGCTCCAAGCATCATGAGGAATGTGATTCTTTTTCCACTGTTGCATCCCAAACTTTGGTATTTAAGGTGTGCTGGTTATGATTTGTGTGTGTGTTGTCAAGTCACCCTTGACTCCTAGCAACTACATGCAGTTTTCAAGGCAATGTTTTCAAAAGTAGTTTGCCATTGTCTTTCTATGGCTGTGCAAGGATGACTGGCCCAAAGTCATCCAGCTAGCTTATGTGCCTAAGGCAAGACTAGAACTCAGATTTCCCTACTCATGATTTAGCACCTTAATCACTAGATCAAAGACAGGAAGTTGCTACCAGATGTAGTTGCCATTATTAGCCCGGTCTTCCATCAATTTCTCCAGTCTAAGATCATCTCTCCATCAGATGGCAAAAATTTCCAGGTTCTTTTATCAGCCAAAAATCTTCTTTCATTTAGTTTTGTTGAGATTTTGAATTCTCACCTTGGGTTCATAATGTGCACGCTGTTGTATGCCTTGTATCATGTCTCCCCTTATCTGCCTTTGTTTGAAATAAACAGCCCCCAACTGCTGTAGATTTTCCTTATAGAATAACTGCTCTAAGAATTTTGACAGAATACCAGAGAACGGTATTGTGTTGCATTGTCTAATTTCACCCGTAACATTTCCCTCCTTGTTTTCTCCCCCTGTCTGATCCCAGTGTGCAGTTCCACCCAGAGCACAATGCAGGGCCGATGGATCTTGAATGTCTTTTTGATGTCTTCTTGGAGACAGTGCAGGACACTGTCGGTGGAGGGCAGGGCCCTAAGACAGGTGGGAGCTCTGTGACTGAGTTGGTTTCTGAAAGCCTGGATAGAGGCCTGGCTTTACCTCCATGCTACCCCGTATGGTCACCAGGTTTTGCACCTGCTGTAGGGTGCTTGCTAGTCTCCTGGCAGGGTTGAAACTTTGCTGGGTCCACCTATGGGCTTTAACTACTGCAGTGATCATCCAGGCATCTCTTTCTCTTCCCTCCCACCTCTAGTGTATAAACGCCTGCAGGACTGCCTGCACAATTCAAAAGTCCTGCCTGCCAGCAACCTGCCCCGCCCTCACAAGGTGCTCATCCTGGGCTCAGGGGGCCTTTCTATAGGGCAGGCAGGTGAGTTTGACTACTCTGGCTCCCAGGTGAGTGAGTGAAGAAATGGAAGTCAAAAGGCAGTGGGGAAAATTACAAAGTGGGAGGGGGTTGGGTAGAATACACACAAGCAAAAAGGACTGAGGGTTTTTGCCAATGGCAAAGTCACCAATGTGCTTGAGGTATCCGGTATGGAGGGGTCATTTCTTTAGTAGTGATACAGGGCAGCAGCTGATCTCAGCTCACCTTGGGCGGCATCACAGAGAAGCAAGGATTATTATTATGGTTGGTTGCACAGTCATCCAGATGACTGGATCTGATATTTTTATCCATCTGTTGAGTCCTTCCCAAGGATCTGGGATAGGCAGAAGTTGTTTTGATGATGTTAACGGTATCGTTGCAGGATATAAGCTGTTCCACATAAATCTACCTTTTGTAATTGATTGATGGGGATTTTGTCAATGCTGATGGTGTTCAAGTAGTGCTCTAGACATTTGGGGATTGCACCCAAGGCATCCATTACTATTAGTATTATCTTTGCTTTCTTTTATCATTATTATGGTTGGTCACACAATCAGCCAGATTTTACACAGGATTTGGCATTTTAGCCACTATTGAGTCAGTATTGATTTAATGAATATGTTTCCTAACTCCCAGTGACTTTAGATGGTTTACAAATTGTTAAAAAACAAAGATGGCAGAGAAGACAATGGGAACAAGGAAAAGGAAGAAAAGGGGATAGGTAGGCAGTAACAATTTGGTCAACGGAATTGTTGTCCGTTCATGAAAGTGAAAAAAAGTTCAATATGGAGAAGACAATGGTCAGGATTAATCATGGCCTATTTCAGGAAATTATTTTCCCAAAAGAGAACTATTCTAAAACTGTATTCACATATTTATCTTGATTACTCAATTTACCATAGTTAATTTCCTAGTTTTGCATAATATATTTAGCTATAAAGTAACTGTAAATTAACCAAATAGATTGGGTTTGCCTAACACACTGGGCCCAAATTCACATTAGCCAAATTTTCCATGGTGTGCAAATTCAACTGCTAAGTCTTTAATAGACTTGGTTAATACAATTTTTGTTTCAATGGTGTTGCCTTGTGAGTGGTTTATTACATTATGAGGCAGGGGTCTTCAAACTTGGCCCTTTTATGACTTGTGGACTTGTGCCTGGCTGAGGAATTCTGGGAGTTGAAGTCCACAAGTCTTAAAAGGGCCAAGTGTGAAGACCCCTGTTATGAGGGCTATGTGCATATTTTGACATGACTGGTGTTGTGTTGCAAGGATGACAATTTATTCAATCATAATCTCACTTCCCACCTTCCCAGGCCATCAAAGCTCTGAGAGAAGAGAACATCCAGACGGTGCTCATCAACGCAAATATTGCCACCGTTCAGACCTCCAAAGGCTTGGCTGACAAGGTCTACTTCTTGCCCATTACTCCTGACTATGTTACCCAGGTGAATTTACTATTTCCCTTTCCCAGATTCCTTGTTCATCTGCCACTCAGTATTCCTATTCTATTTGGAAACTGTGAATGTCCTAACATACAGGTACTTACAACCTATTTGTTGAGTAACCATTTGAAGTTACAGCTTCACTGAAAAAAGTGATTTATGACCGATTTTCACACTTACGATCATTGCAGCATCCCCATGGTCACATGATCAAAATCTGACATTGGCATGTATTTATGACAGTTGCACTGTCCTGAGGTCATGTGATCACCATTTGTAACCTTCCCAGCTGGCTTCTGACCAGCAGAGTCAGGGAAGCCAGATTTTTCTTAATGACCACACGATTCAAAAGCATCATAAAATGGGGCAAAATTCACTTAATTGCCTTGTTTAACAATGGAAATTTTAGGCTAAATTGTGGCTGTAAGTCAAGGATTACCTGTACAGTTAAGGGGATTGGAGAATCTCTCCACTGTCCTTACAGAATTCAGGGGTGGGATGTGACTAGAACCGAACAGGGGGACATTCCTAGCCTTCCACTGTCTTCTCTATGATCAGGTGATAAAGAATGAGCGCCCAGATGGAATCTTGCTGACATTCGGAGGACAGACAGCACTCAACTGTGGCGTGGAGCTAACTAAGGCTGGGGTGCTGGAGCGCTACAATGTGCGTGTGCTGGGCACTCCCGTGGCTTCTATTGAGATGACAGAGGACCGCAAAGTCTTTGTGGAGAAGATGGAGGAGATAGGGGAACATGTGGCACCTAGTGAGGCTGCCTGCTCCATTGAACAAGTATGTCATTCTGCTTAATTACAGCCATACCTCTCTTTGGGGGAGCTCAAGACAGTGGAGATAAAGTTCTCCTTCAGGTCCCATTGGACCCAGCTCTTGAACAAAGCGTGCTTTTAAACATGGTAGAAGAATTTTAAATAGAAGAATGCATGCAAGAATATACGGGAAGGGGACTAGATTTGCAGGATAGAATCAGTAGTTCATTCTTCAGTGAAACATTGTTAGAAACTTTCCCCGACTGACAAAGAAAAGAAATCAGGCTTTCTGGTGTGAACCTCATCTAGTCCACTTGGATCTGCCAGAATTGCTGGCCAAAGATATGATATGTTTTCTGATAACCACCACTAGGGATAATGGACTTCCTAAATGCTTTCTCCCAACAGGCACAGGTTGCTGCAGAACGACTTGGCTACCCAGTGCTTGTGCGCTCAGCCTATGCATTGGGCGGGCTGGGCTCTGGGTTTGCCAATGGGCGGGAGGAGCTGATGGCACTGGTGAGCCAGGCCTTTTCCCACACCTCACAGGTGCTGGTGGACAAGTCACTCAAGGGCTGGAAGGAGATTGAGTATGAGGTGGTGCGTGATGCCTATGACAACTGTGTCACGGTAAGCCAATTGGGTTAAAGGGGTAGAGGGAGGTTCATCACCAAAAGGGCAAGTTTAAGCTTGTTTTGGGTGCCAGAAAAAGGATTTTTAAAATAAAATTAAGCAGCCAAATGTTTGATTGCAGATTGCTATTTGCTGCTGGGTGTCCAAGGTAGCTAGACAGTTCCCAACCTCTGACTATACCAACAAGCACACTGCAAGTCATATCTATGCAAGGAATTGATTTGCAGCAGGGAGAAAACACTTATTTTAGTTAAAAATAAATATAAGCTGCTTAAGTGAAAGTCTGGGGATGAGACAAAAACAAGATCATGATGAAGGGTCCTTTAACAATAGTGAGGCACAAGACCTAACTTAGGATCTAAGAACTTGGAGGCATGGATTCGCAGTGATCATGGCCGCCTTCTTATCTAGCTGATCTTCTCGGTTCCCAATCCTGAACAGGTATGCAATATGGAGAATCTGGATCCGTTGGGCATCCACACTGGTGAATCTATAGTGGTTGCCCCCAGCCAGACACTCAACAACAAGGAATACAATCTCTTGCGCACTACAGCCATCAAAGTGGTTCGTCACCTCGGGATCATTGGAGAATGTAATGTTCAGTATGCACTGAATCCTGAGTCTGAGCAGGTGAGATGCTCTTGAGTTGACAATCTATGATTGCCCTTGTTGAGCAGTGTATGCTGATACTGTGAGCTTACTTGCAGTTGCTTACAGCAGCTTTCTGCTGAATGAAGTCATGGTTCACCTAGTACACTATTGTCAACACAGACTAGGATTGACTTTCCAGAGTTTCAAGGCAATCTTTTCTAGCTCAGCTCAACCTGGGACCTTCTGCATATTAACCATATGCTCGGTCCTGAGTTATAATTCATTCCCAGGAAATATGGAAACTTTCTCATTCTGCTTGCTATACTGAACGATGGTGCAAATATTGGCTGGGCTGCATCTGTCTCTTTCCTGTCCCACAGTACTACATCATAGAGGTGAATGCTCGGCTCTCACGGAGTTCAGCTCTGGCAAGCAAGGCTACTGGCTACCCCTTGGCCTATGTTGCTGCTAAGTTGGCTTTGGGCATCCCATTGCCTATCCTCAGGTAATACCTGAATGCTCTGGGATGCAGGATGCATTGCTTTGCTAGAACTATCTGGGGAGGGGTCTGCTTACTCATTGCCCCCACTGTGTCAGTGGGTTATTTGCTTAAATATTATTTCGCCTTTTATGGAGCCAGTCCCCTATGTACTTTTTATTTTGTTTAAAACATGTGACTGATAAATTTTGTCTTAGCAACTGCTACCACCTTGGATTCTTGCCATATCTTATACAGTCTTTCTAAACAAGGAATGACAACTGTGCCTGCTGTTATAGCTTTTTGATCATAGATTCAATAAGAGATACATGGCTCTCCATCTTAGCCTTCTCTTTCCCTTCACTTCAACCCAGGAACTCAGTCACTAATTCCACCACAGCCTGCTTTGAACCTAGCCTCGATTATTGTGTAGTCAAGATTCCACGCTGGGACCTCAGCAAGTTCCTGCGTGTGAGCACTAAAATTGGCAGTTCCATGAAGAGTGTGGGTGAGTGTTGAAAAGAAGAATATGGTGGGAAGTGCATATTGGAGTCAGGCTCCTACCTTGCAATCAAGTTTGATTTTCATTTGTGCTTTGTGTGGTACAGGCAGCAGACCAGGTATTAGGATACCATGATTTGGGTGTTCCATCAGCTGACAATCTTCTATTTCTCCCCTTTTCTTATCCTTTGCCTATGTAGTTATATACTGTAAGTTATCAAGTTGGTGCTATTCTTCCATTGCTAACTATAAATTGATGTTGACAGTTGTATTCTGTTTTTTGCATTCAAAAATCCCAGAACATCTGGACCCTTTTTATACATGTGTCAATATCACATGCATATCGAAAAGAGGCAAGACTGTATTTTGACACTACTTCTGCTACTTTCCCTTTTTTGCCACACACAAACATTTAGGATGGCTTTGATGCTATAATGCAGACACAATTGTGGGTGTCTCTAAAACCAAGACAAGACAATGCTTGAGTGATCCTGGCATTCCCTGAGATGGTCTGCTCATTCCTCATGCTTGAATCTTGTTTGTTTCCTTGATACATGCTGATTTTATCTGGCTTTGAAAGAAGCCATGTTTATTTATTTAGCTCAAAAATCTAAACTTAGTAAAAAATTTCCCCTGGGTAAATTTACTGTTGTTCTTGCCATTCTTTCAGGTGAGGTCATGGCCATTGGAAGGAGTTTTGAGGAGGCATTTCAGAAGGCACTTCGCATGGTGGATGAGAATTGTGTGGGCTTTGATCCCACAGTAAAACCAGTCTCTGACATGGTAGGCATTCCTGGTGAGGTGACGAAGCATGCTGAATTTCCAGTAGCTGCTGTCCCCAGTCCCATTGGACTAACACTCAGCGCTGTGCTGTCCACAATTTTCTGTTCCTTCCTCATCACTGCAGGAGCTGGAGACTCCCACCGACAAGCGGATCTTTGTGTTAGCAGCTGCACTGCGGGCCGGCTATTCCATTGAGCGTCTCTATGAGCTCACCAAGATTGATCGCTGGTTCCTGCACAAGATGAAAAATATAGCTGATCATGCACTGTGCCTGGAATCATATCGCCAGGCAGAGCCAGGGTCCATGCCACCTCATGTCCTGAAGCTGGCCAAGCAGTTGGGCTTCTCAGATAAGCAGGTGGCTCAGGCTGTGCTCAGGTACAAGATCAAAGCATCAGTGTGGTTATTATTTGTCTAAACTGGTTTGGCTCCTTGACTATTGTTGTTTTATATAATGTTATTCTATGAGTAAATAAAAAGCAGCCCAAAGGATTCAGGTCTAGGCGGTCCTGACCATTAGCCAAAAACTGGAAGTAAAGTAATACCTACTGCTTACTAAGAACAGGTTGTAGGAATGGAGATCATTAAGAGGGATGAGATGTGTGGAGGGAAACCTATAATGCTGACTGTGCCAAAGTGGATACCACAATCTTTGTCCCTTGGTTGCTCGTTTTCTGACAACATGCTGAGTGCAGGCTGAAATAAGGTGGTTAGTTTTGATTAGCATGTTGCGAGAACCCAGCCATAGTTTTAGCCTGATTCACATAAATATGCAATTCACATAAGCTATCATGTTAAATGAATGTAGCAGTTATGTGTAAAAACTGTTCAGTCTCTGCTTGAAAACAAAATCTCGATGAAGTCCTGGAAAACAGCTTATCAGTTGGAGCCAGTACCCTGACCCAGCATAAGACAGCTATTTGGTTTTATCATTTTATTTTAAACATTTATATAGCCACCCATCTTTCAACCAACTCTGGATGGCTCCCAATCAAAGATCAAAAACCACATAAAATCACAAAACTATAAAACCAAACCAATTAAAACACTAAAACATTAAAAACAAAAGCTTGTTGTGTTTCAGCACGGAACTGGCAGTGAGGAAGATGCGCCATGACTTGAAGATTTTACCAGTAGTGAAACAGATTGACACAGTGGCCGCAGAATGGCCAGCCCAGACCAATTATCTGTATCTCAGCTACAATGGCACTGAGCATGACCTGTCTTTCCATGAGCCACACGTCATGGTCATCGGTTCTGGTGTCTACCGTATTGGCAGCAGTGTGGAATTTGACTGGTGTGCCGTTGGGTGCATCCAGGAGCTGCGCAAGGTGAGTACTTGGATGCTTCTTCTCCAAAGACATTTCCTAGACATGTCAGGAGTTTTCCTTGTTCACCTTGTGTCACAGAGGGCTTTCAGTTCCTCCTTATGTCTTTCTCCTCCACTATTCACAATCACTTCATTGCTCTTCTCTGAATGGGTCATAGGAAGTCTGACAGTGGTGCAAGAAGGCCACGTGGTCTGGTACTGGAGTGTTTCATGCAACCAACATACAAATGACTGCATGAAGTATCGGCTCCAGATAACTCTTCTGAAGTAGTGGCAGGTCACCAATATACCTGCAAATTTGTGGATTGCTAATCACCTGTTGAGTCCCAAAGCCATGATGAGGCTGGTGTTCCTATAGGTGTGAGTTCAGAAGATGTAAGCTCTATGTGCCTTTCTCCAACAGATGGGCTACAAAACCATCATGGTGAACTACAACCCTGAGACAGTAAGCACAGACTACGACATGTGTGACCGGCTCTATTTTGATGAAATGTCCTTTGAGGTGGGTCCTATATGGTGCTGCATTAAGATTTGGTTTTAAAAAGGGATCAAAAGTATGTTTTCAGCTCTCTGTTTTGAAATAGAAGTGTCTGTACTAAGCAGTAAGGGAACTCTAGGATGAATTGGTCTCCTCTTGAGTTTTAAGCTATGTATATTTAACAGACGTTCTAGGAATCTTAGTCTAAGCTCTAAGGGCTTTAATGCTGGTCATCAAAGATTCTATCAGCACATCTGGAGAGTCTACCAGTGCATCTCAAATCAGTGAATTCTTAGTCTGCTGTTATGGGGGGGAAAACGAAGTGGAAATAAACTCATTTACTCCAGATATTACTCACATGGCCATTTCTTTCCTTAAGGATAGCACTTATGTCTCCATTCATGCAGGTGCTTCCACAAATATACCAGATGTATATTCTTACATCTATCCTCTTCCTTGCTTTTTAGACAATATTATTCTCTCAAGCAGTTTATGACCACAGAAAGGGTCGGACCCTGCTCATGGTCTAAAAATAATAAGTCACATAAGGTTCAAGAAGGAATGGGAAGATAGTCTTCAAGGCAAGGAAGCAATGGCCTGCAATATGGTGACAATCAACTGTATTTCCTGATGGGCTATTTTGTTTTCTTTGAGTTTTTGCCTGAACAGCAACTTGGTGCTTTTTTTAAATAATTGGCCCAGAATTATTGTGGCGAATAGAATAGAATAGAATAGAATAGAATAGAATAGAATAGAATAGAATAGAATAGAATAGAATGGACCTTGGAGGTCTTCTAGTCCAGCCTCCGCTCAAGCAGGAGAACCTATACCACCTCAGACAAGTGACTGTCCAGTCTCTTCTTAAAAACCTCCAGTGCCCACGATTTCTGGAGGCACGCTGTTCCACTGGTTAATTGTCCTCACTGTTAGGAACTTTCTCCTTAATTCCAGATTGCTTCTCTCTTTGATCAGTTTCCAACCATTGTTTCTTGTCCTGCCCTCTGGTGCTTTGGAGAATAGTTTGGTCCCCTCTTCTTTGTGGCAGCCCCTCAAATACTGGAATACTGCCATCATGTCACCCCTATTTCTTCTTTTCTTTAGACTAGCCAGACCCAAATCCTGCAGCCGTTTTCATATGTTTTAGTCTCCAGGCCTTTGATCATCTTAGTTGCTCTTCTCTGAACTTTTTCCAAGATCTCAACATTGTTTTTGTAGTATGGTGACCAAAATGAATCAATATATACTGAATGGAGGGAGGGAGGGAGAAGCAAGGAAAGCTTCCTCTAACCATTCCTCCCCTTGTTATGGCCACCTTCCTGAGAAGCAGATGCAGTTTTGTTCTTGTAGGTCTATGTTCTATGTTGTTTGGCCAATAAATAGGATCAACATGTTGCCTTCCAGATTACTTGTAAGTTGTCACTTGGGATAACTTCCCTTTAGGCAGGCTATAATAAAAGCAGAAACAAAGTTGGTGCACATTTAAAGTCCATAGTCAAGTTAAAAGCAGAAGGTTTCTTCGCTTGGCAGTAACTCCATTATTGCTACCACTGGACTGAGTTTATGCCGTTAGTTATGATTCATTTAAAAGGAGTGTAATTTACCTGGATGGTGTGATTGCAGCAAATAGACAGGATAAGGGAGGCAGGAGATGTCTTTTTATTTGGTTGCCATAAGAAAAAGGTATCTGGAGCCAAATCAAAGATATGTTGGGAGGGGGGGAGAATCTGTCCTCCATTCTAAGAAGCATCATACAGCATCCTCTTTTTTTTCTACCTCTCTTCCTCATTCTCAATTTTGCTCTTCAGGTGGTGATGGATATTTATGAGCTGGAGAACCCTGAGGGTGTAATTCTGTCCATGGGGGGGCAGCTTCCCAATAATATTGCCATGGCCTTACATCGGCAGCAGTGCCGGATCCTAGGCACTTCCCCTGAAGACATTGACTCTGCTGAGAACCGCTTCAAGTTCTCCCGTCTTCTGGATACCATCAACATCAGCCAGCCCCTCTGGAAGGAGCTCTCAGACATGGAGGTGAATAGAAGGTGCTACAACTAAAAAGAGTGAGTGGGTGGGAATGGGGGGGAAGTGAGACCATCATTGGTTAGGTCTCTTTTTCCATTCCAGAAGCTGTAGAGCTGGTGTTGTCATGGGAGGGTGTATGAGGAATTATGGCAAGTTCCCAATGTCACCTCTCTTTGGGTGTTTTATTTTTTTTCCCAGTTGCTAATGAATTGCAGACTGGCATTTTAGGGTGAGAGGGGAAATTAAGGTCCATTTGTCATTGGTGCTAACTTGTTGCATGTTTTAGGGAAAGGAGGAGGTGGACAATTTAATGCCTGGAATTTCTGGTGCATCCTGGCAAAGTGACAAAGGAAAAAATGGCTAAAGATGGGGCCAGAGAGCTGTTTCTTCAGATATAGCCTTTGTAACCCTACAGTATCTCTCCTCTGCAGTCAGCCAAGCAGTTCTGCTGCAAGGTGGGATACCCTTGCGTGGTGCGTCCTTCCTACGTGCTTAGCGGTGCGGCCATGAACGTGGCTTACACAGATAACGACCTGGAGAGGTTCCTTAGCAATGCTGTTGCTGTTTCCAAGGAGCAGCCTGTGGTCATCTCCAAGTTCATCCAAGAGGCCAAGGTGGGCAGGGCTGATGGGTGGGTTTTGTATGCCAGTCACTCTGGAAAATGTGACAGGCTCGACTGATCAGAATAAGCACAGGAGTGTTACAGAAGGTCACCCTTGAAAGCAGCCCCGTGATTGTCATCCTTTGAACACAGGGGAAATAGGGGCATACTATTTGTGTGCTCAAGCAAATCACAAAGGGGAGTCTCTGCTTTCTTTGGCATTCAGGAAGACCCACGTGAGGGAGGCATTATTGGCAAATGTTGAGGCTCTTGTACTTGCCTCCCAACAGGAGATAGATGTCGATGCTGTGGCCTGTGATGGACAAGTGGTGGCCATTGCCATTTCTGAGCATGTGGAGAACGCTGGTGTACATTCAGGGGATGCCACACTAGTGACACCCCCACAGGACATTACACCCAAGACGCTGGAGCGGATTAAGGCGATTGTGCATGCCATTGGACAGGAACTGCAGGTCACAGGACCCTTCAACCTCCAACTCATTGCCAAGGTAACAGGAAGGGTTGGCAAGAAGTCAGTGAGTCTAGCATTCATGGATTGAATCAGATTTCTCAGCTCTAGTGTGCACATATGCTGTCTGTGTTTGACTTTCCTTTATTCATTGACGATAACAGGGATCGATCTTACTTAATTGAGAGGCACTGTATATCTTGTAATGTTAATGTGAAAAATGTGATGTAGATCAGAGTCTCTGATTGGCACGATTTGGAGCTAACATCCTCTATCTTGGCTGGTGCTCCATAAGCCGTCCTGCCAACCTGCTTTTCTTTTCTGCAGCATGACCAGCTGAAGGTGATTGAATGCAATGTGCGAGTATCTCGATCCTTTCCGTTTGTCTCCAAAACGCTGGGCGTTGACCTGGTAGCTTTGGCCACGCAAGTGATTATGGGAGAAGAGGTGGAATCCGTTGGACTCATGACAGGCACAGGCATTGTTGGTGTCAAGGTAAGCAGCTGAATAGCTTAATCACATTCACATAGTGAAGATTTGAGCCCTAATGTACCTTTTCTTTGTTCCTTAGAACAATCACAGCTTGGGATATGGACTGATTTGACCGTCTCATTTTGGGCTCTTCTTTTTTTTGCTCAGGTGCCCCAGTTTTCATTCTCACGACTGGCAGGTGCTGATGTGGTGCTGGGGGTAGAGATGACCAGCACAGGTGAGGTGGCCTGCTTTGGGGAGAATCGTTGTGAAGCCTACCTCAAAGCCATGCTGAGCACTGGCTTCAAGATTCCCAAGAAGAACATTCTGCTGACTATTGGGAGTTACAAGGTCAGTTGGGTGAGACAGGGTGACGCATTTGTCAGGAGGAAAAGCAGAACAGTCCTGTTGGTGTCACCACCTCAAAGCCTTTTTTCAGATTAAACATTCCTAATTTTAAATGTCCCAATGTCTATGCTTTTGTTGTAGTAGCACAGTGGTTCTCAACCTATGGGTCGCGACCCCATTTGGGGTCGATCGACCATTTCACGGGGGTCGCCAAGCAAGGCTGTCCGCCATTTTTTTCCCCCTTTTCCGGCGGGTGCCTTACCTCCCTTGGGCTGGGCCAGCTGGTGGTCGGCCTGCTCCGTCTCTGACGCTTGCCAGCTACGCCTCGGCCGGCGCAGGAGGCAGAACCACGCATGTGCGGCGCTCCCGGGCAGGGAAAGTCCTTGACTTACGACCGGTTGGGTAGTCCTCGACTTACAACCGGTTGGGGGTCACGGCATTAAAAAGGTTGAGAACCACTGTAGTAGCAGAACAGCTGGTAATGTTTCTTACAAAGTTTTCATTGTTCAACCCTTCTAGATTATTTTGAGGTTTCCTTTAAGGGTTTATATGGAATAAAAAAATAAGCCAAGTATTCTTGCTGTAATAAATGGTGGTAACATTGGATTTGGGGAATAGGGTGAGAGAGAGAAGAACAGGAGGGTAAGGAAGTCAGTGGGAAGGATTGGGGAAGGTGGGTTGCAGTAAGAGCAGACATGCTTATGATGTGTCTGAATAGGTCTGCCTTTCCTTTTTGCTTCACATCTCTTTTAGAACAAGAGTGAGTTGCTGTCCACAGTACGTACCCTCGAAGGCTTGGGCTATAATCTCTATGCCAGTCTGGGCACTGCTGATTTTTATACAGAGCATGGCATTAAGGTAGGTACACAGATGGTCATGATAACATATGGTATTTTTTTCTACAAAGACGGGTTAATTAGATTAATAATTATTAGGTTAATAAACTGCAGTGAATTACCTTCCAATGCAGTTTGTGCTGTTCTCCTTTGAGGAAAGATGAAAACAATTAAGGGGGAGTGCAGAAGAAGAGAGCAGGAATAGGAATTCTTTGTTATTCCAATGCTGGAAGTTGCTGGGGCGGGGGGNTCTTAGTCTAAGCTCTAAGGGCTTTAATGCTGGTCATCAAAGATTCTATCAGCACATCTGGAGAGTCTACCAGTGCATCTCAAATCAGTGAATTCTTAGTCTGCTGTTATGGGGGGGAAAACGAAGTGGAAATAAACTCATTTACTCCAGATATTACTCACATGGCCATTTCTTTCCTTAAGGATAGCACTTATGTCTCAATTCAAGCAGGAGAACCTATACCACCTCAGACAAGTGACTGTCCAGTCTCTTCTTAAAAACCTCCAGTGCCCACGGTTTCTGGAGGCATGCTGTTCCACTGGTTAATTGTCCTCACTGTTAGGAACTTTCTCCTTAATTCCAGATTGCTTCTCTTTTTGATCAGTTTCCAACCATTGTTTCTTGTCCTGCCCTCTGGTGCTTTGGAAAATAGTTTGGCCCCCTCTTCTTTGTGGCAGCCCCTCAAATACTGGAATACTGCCATCATGTCACCCCTATTTCTTCTTTTCTTTAGACTAGCCAAACCCAAATCCTGCAGCCGTTTTCATATGTTTTAGTCTCCAGGCCTTTGATCATCTTAGTTGCTCTTCTCTGAACTTTTTCCAAGGTCTCAACATCTTTTTTTGTAGTATGATGACCAAAATGAATCAATATATACTGAATGGAGGGAGGGAGGGAGAAGCAAGGAAAGCTTCCTCTAACCATTCCTCCCCTTGTTATGGCCACCTTCCTGAGAAGCAGATGCAGTTTTGTTCTTGTAGGTCTATGTTCTATGTTGTTTGGCCAATAAACAGGATCAACGTGTTGCCTTCCAGGTTATTTATAAGTTGCCACTTAGGGTAACTTCCCTTTAGGCAGGCTATAATAAAAGCAGAAACAAAGTTGGTGCCCATTTAAAGTCCATAGTGGAGTCAGAAGCAGAAAGTCTCTTCCCTTGGCAGTAACTCCATTATTGCTACCACTGGACTGAGTTTATGCCGTTAGTTATGATTCATTTAAAAGGAGTGTAATTTACCTGGATGGTGTGATTGCAGCAAATAGACAGGATAAGGGAGGCAGGAGATGTCTTTTTATTTGGTTGCCACAAGAAAAGTATCTGGAGCCAAATCAAAGATATGTTGGGAGGGGGGGGGAGAATCCGTCCTCCATTCTAAGAAGCATCATACAGCATCCTCTTTTTTTTCTACCTCTCTTCCTCATTCTCAATTTTGCTCTTCAGGTGGTGATGGATATTTATGAGCTGGAGAACCCTGAGGGTGTAATTCTGTCCATGGGGGGGCAGCTTCCCAATAATATTGCCATGGCCTTACATCGGCAGCAGTGCCGGATCCTAGGCACTTCCCCTGAAGACATTGACTCTGCTGAGAACCGCTTCAAGTTCTCCCGTCTTCTGGATACCATCAACATCAGCCAGCCCCTCTGGAAGGAGCTCTCAGACATGGAGGTGAATAGAAGGTGCTACAACTAAAAAGAGTGAGTGGGTGGGAATGTGGGGGAAGTGAGACCATCATTGGTTAGGTCTCTTTTTCCATTCCAGAAGCTGTAGAGCTGGTGTTGTCATGGGAGGGTGTATGAGGAATTATGGCAAGTTCCCAATGTCACCTCTCTTTGGGTGTTTTATTTTTTTTCAGTTGCTAATGAACTGCAGACTGGCGTTTTAGGGTGAGAGGGGAAATTAAGGTCCATTTGTCATTGGTGCTAACTTGTTGCATGTTTTAGGGAAAGGAGGAGGTGGACAATTTAATGCCTGGAATTTCTGGTGCATCCTGGCAAAGTGACAAAGGAAACAATGGCTAAAGATGGGGCCAGAGAGCTGTTTCTTCAGATATAGCCTTTGTAACCCTACAGTATCTCTCCTCTGCAGTCAGCCAAGCAGTTCTGCTGCAAGGTGGGATACCCTTGCGTGGTGCGTCCTTCCTACGTGCTTAGCGGTGCGGCCATGAACGTGGCTTACACAGATAACGACCTGGAGAGGTTCCTTAGCAATGCTGTTGCTGTTTCCAAGGAGCAGCCTGTGGTCATCTCCAAGTTCATCCAAGAGGCCAAGGTGGGCAGGGCTGATGGGTGGGTTTTGTATGCCAGTCACTCTGGAAAATGTGACAGGCTCGACTGATCAGAATAAGCACAGGATTGTTGCAGAAGGTCACCCTTGAAAGCAGCCCCGTGATTGTCATCCTTTGAACACAGGGGAAATAGGGGCGTACTATTTGTGTGCTCAAGCAAATCACAAAGGGGAGTCTCTGCTTTCTTTGGCATTCAGGAAGACCCACGTGAGGGAGGCATTATTGGCAAATGTTGAGGCTCTTGTACTTGCCTCCCAACAGGAGATAGATGTCGATGCTGTGGCCTGTGATGGACAAGTGGTGGCCATTGCCATTTCTGAGCATGTGGAGAACGCTGGTGTACATTCAGGGGATGCCACACTAGTGACACCCCCACAGGACATTACACCCAAGACGCTGGAGCGGATTAAGGCGATTGTGCATGCCATTGGACAGGAACTGCAGGTCACAGGACCCTTCAACCTCCAACTCATTGCCAAGGTAACAGGAAGGGGAGGCAAGAAGTCAGTGAGTCTAGCATTCATGGATTGAATCAGATTTCTCAGCTCTAGTGTGCACATATGCTGTCTGTGTTTGACTTTCCTTTATTCATTGACGATAACAGGGATCGATCTTACTTAATTGAGAGGCACTGTATATCTTGTAATGTTAATGTGAAAAATGTGATGTAGATCAGAGTCTCTGATTGGCACGATTTGGAGCTAACATCCTCTATCTTGGCTGGTGCTCCATGAGCCGTCCTGTCAACCTGCTTTTCTTTTCTGCAGCATGATCAGCTGAAGGTGATTGAATGCAATGTGCGAGTATCTCGATCCTTTCCGTTTGTCTCCAAAACGCTGGGCGTTGACCTGGTAGCTTTGGCCACGCAAGTGATTATGGGAGAAGAGGTGGAGTCCGTTGGACTCATGACAGGCACAGGCATTGTTGGTGTCAAGGTAAGCAGCTGAATAGCTTAATCACATTCACATAGTGAAGATTTGAGCCCTAATGTACCTTTTCTTTGTTCCTTAGAACAATCACAGCTTGGGATATGGACTGATTTGACCGTCTCATTTTGGGCTCTTCTTTTTTTGCTCAGGTGCCCCAGTTTTCATTCTCACGACTGGCAGGTGCTGATGTGGTGCTGGGGGTAGAGATGACCAGCACAGGTGAGGTGGCCTGCTTTGGGGAGAATCGTTGTGAAGCCTACCTCAAAGCCATGCTGAGCACTGGCTTCAAGATTCCCAAGAAGAACATTCTGCTGACTATTGGGAGTTACAAGGTCAGTTGGGTGAGAAAGGGTGACGCATTTGTCAGGAGGAAAAGCAGAACAACCCTGTTGGTGTCACCACCTCAAAGCCTTTTTTCAGATTAAACATTCCTAATTTTAAATGTCCCAATGTCTATGCTTTTGTTGTAGTAGCACAGCGGTTCTCAACCTATGGGTCGGGACCCCATTTGGGGTCGATCGACCATTTCACGGGGGTCGCCAAGCAAGGCTGTCCGCCATTTTTTTTCCCCTTTTCCGGCGGGTGCCTTACCTCCCTTGGGCTGGGCCAGCTGGTGGTCGGCCTGCTCCATCTCTGCCGCTTGCCAGCTACGCCTCGGCCGGCGCAGGGGGTGGAACCACGCATGCGCGGCGCTCCCGGGCAGGGAAAGTCCTTGACTTACGACCGGTTGGGTAGTCCTCGACTTACAACCGGTTGGGGATCGCGGCATTAAAAAGGTTGAGAACCACTGTAGTAGCAGAACAACTGGTAATGTTTCTTACAAAGTTTTCATTGTTCAACCCTTCTAGATTATTTTGAGGTTTCCTTTAAGGGTTTATATGGAATAAAAAAATAAGCCAAGTATTCTTGCTGTAGTAAATGGTGGTAACATTGGATTTGGGGAATAGGGTGAGAGAGAGAAGAACAGGAGGGTAAGGAAGTCAGTGGGAAGGATTGGGGAAGGTGGGTTGCAGTAAGAGCAGACATGCTTATGATGTGTCTGAATAGGTGTGCCTTTCCTTTTTGCTTCACATCTCTTTTAGAACAAGAGTGAGTTGCTGTCCACAGTACGTACCCTGGAAGGCTTGGGCTATAATCTCTATGCCAGTCTGGGCACTGCTGATTTTTATACAGAGCATGGCATTAAGGTAGGTACACAGATGGCCATGATAACATATGGTATTTTTTTTCTACAAAGACGGGTTAATTAGATTAATAATTATTAGGTTAATAAACTGCAGTGAATTACCTTCCAATGCAGTTTGTGCTGTTCTCCTTTGAGGAAAGATGAAAACAATTAAGGGGGAGTGCAGAAGAAGAGAGCAGGAATAGGAATTCTTTGTTATTCCAATGCTGGAAGTTGCTGGGGCGGGGGGAATTAGCACCACGGTGAAGCTGTTTAAACAGCATGAAAGAGAGATGGCTTCCAACTTTAGCCTTGGACTGAATAGACCTTTGCTTTCTCCTTTACTTACTTCTGGGTCCTCTCCCAGGAACACATATCCTTCTTATCTGTAGGCCCTATTTCCCCAAATTGATGCTTTCCAGAATTGTGAAGTCTAAGGCCCTTTAAGTTGGAGGGTGGTATGGAAGAAAGTTATGCTGTCCATCAGATGAATGTTGCCTTTTTTTAAAATATTCTTTTTAATTTTTGAAACCAGAGTTGTTCTGAAGTTGGGTGACCTAGAAATGTAATAAATAAATACGTTCCCAGAATGCTGGTTGGGAATTCTGGATGTTTATTTCTTTACAATAATAGTACACTGCCCCAGTTGTAAGACTCTGTGCAGCATATATTAAGGCAAGCAAATAAAACAATTAAACAAGCAAATGGGAATACCAAAATGGAACAAAACATTCATACAAGGTGGAGTGCATACATCAAGTAGTTGGTTTAAGACCAAACTCATAGTGGAAAGAAAAGCAAGGAGAGAGGTTGCTACGTGTATCTCACAGGGAAGTATATCCCACAGTATATAATCGTGGTGGTGAACCTATGGCACGTGTGCCAAAGGTGGCACGCAGAGTCCTCTCTGTGGGCACGCACGCCATCGCCCCAGTCCTAGGCCTTCAGCTGGGTTTTATAAAACCTTTTCACTTTATGCTTTGCCACTGTGTGCAAAAAAAAGGTTCAATCAATCAATTTCAATTTTTCACGGGGAAAAAAAAGATCTCGCAAAGTTGGAATTGATTGATTGAACTTTTTAGTTCTGCCCAGTCTGCCGTTACCACCGCAGCCACGCCAACTCAATGGGCCACGCCCATCCAATGGGGCACACCCATCCAATGGGGCACACCCACCCGGCACCCGATGATACATAAGTGGGTTTGGGGTTGCAGTTTGGGCACTCGGTCTCTAAAAGGTTTGCCATCACTGGTATATAGGCTGCTCCAGAGAAGGCCTGTTGCCTCATGTAGGCTCTGTGTACTTCCCAAGAAGGGGAAACTTTTAGTAGACCTTTTGTGATGTTCAGACTGGATGGGCAGAATTGACCTTGACAAGATGATTCCTAATGTGACTCAGTGCTACATATTGTCAGCCCCACTAAATAAACCAGATCAGGAAATCAACTACATAGAAAGCCTAAAACTACTTTTGTTGAGATTGGCTAAAATAAAATAGCAGAATCTTACAAGTCTATGCTGTATCTCCTCCTCCTGATAGTTTAATGAATGGGGGGGGGGGGGTGTTGAGTTGCTTCCAAAGGTTCTGTGAGCATTCTGGACTTAAAAATGCTTTGCCCCCCTTTGCTTAAGCAACAGTTTTTGCATCTTCTTCCAACCTACTTCACTTTTGTACTTCAGAGCCACAGCATTATGTAACTTACGGAATGTGTGACTCACAAAAGGTTCTAATGACTCTGTGTCTATTTTGCAATTGTTTGGGCTAATCTGCCAAGACCATGACTGGCATTCTTGCATTATCTTGAGTGTTTTGTATCCCGATGGCTTAAGGACTTGCTGCTTCTTTTGTGGCAGGTGATGGCTGTGGATTGGCATTTTGAAGAGGCAGATGGCAATGAAATGCCATGCAAGGAGAACCAACAGCGCAGCATTTTGGATTATTTGGCTGAAAATCACTTTGATTTAGTGATCAATTTGTCGATACGCAACTCTGGTGGGAGGAGGCTCTCTTCATTTGTCACTAAGGGCTACCGAACACGACGGCTGGCAGTTGACTACTCAGTGCCCCTCATCATAGACATCAAGTGCACCAAGCTTTTTGTTGAGGTTTGTGAGGGGTGGCAAATGAATTGGAGAAGGATTGGGCAGTGATGAAGAGAAACATGGGATTCAGCTTCAGGAGAATACCGAGATCTCCAGTGTGTATTGTGTATATGTTGGATGGGGGGGTGTCCTTTGCTATTCTGAGAGATTGAGTCCTCTTTTTCTTTGTTTCTGTTCTCCATTAGGCTCTTGGGCAAATTGGAGGGCCCCCTCCGTTGAAGATGCATGTGGACTGTATGACCTCACAGAAACTCATCCGCTTGCCAGGTAGATCAAAGTTTGAGCACTTGCATAGGGGGAAGATTTATCTACAGAAAAGAATGCACTTAGCTGGTCCAACTTGGTCTTTGCCTTTTTAGACAGGCTCACTTATTGAATTTGGAGCCCTGCAAGGTAGGATTTGTTCCTTTGCCAGCCCCTGAGAACACAGAGTGGAGAGCAAGGCTATTAAAAAAGGTTCCTGAGTCCAAGGAGAGGGGATATATGACAAAATAGCTATGAGCTATTTAATATGGCTTCAGACTAATTGCAGTAAATATTATTGTGCTGTGATGAGAGTCTTAAGAGATTCTATCGACTTCAAGCTTAACAACCTAGTTAAGCCATGTAAAGTCGGGGATCTGTGATTTATAGCTGAGTCCAGGTCCAGAGCTTGACAGACAGATCATCTATTTATGATTACAATTGAACCTGGAATTTTGATTATGTCATTGTGATCATAAGTCAAATCACTATGTGACCAGACTCATTTTTATAGCACTTTTTACAATAGTTGTAAAGTAAGTCACCATAGTCACCAATAAAGAAGAATAAAGTTGAAATGAGGGATCCTTGTTGCTCTCTGAGCTTCTTGTTTTCTTGCAGATGTTTCATTACCCAAACTAGGTAACATCATCAGTGCTAGTAAGGAGTCCTTACTAGCACTGATGGTGTTGCCTAGTTTGAATAATGAAATGTGTGCAAGAAAACAAGCAAGCTCAGAGAGCAACAAGGACTCCTCACCACAGTCATTAAGCAAATCAAATTAAGCCAGCTTTCATGCCTAAGATGGGACTAGTTTCTAAACACTGGACATACTGATTTACCCATTGACTGCAGTATGCAGTTTATCACAATTTATCCATTGACTGTGGGCTGAGTTCATTTATTACATGGGAAATTCCTGTTCCAGAGATTGACTGAAAACAACCACATTTTCCCCTTTTAAAAGGTAAGAATG